TGTAAGCGTTGATCCCATTAAATTAAAAATTGTCCGCATAATCTTTTCAACTAGACCATTTCCTATAGGGACACCCGTTGCAACTAGATGAATTTCGCAACCAAAAGCCTCCAAGTATACTCCAAAATCAGTTGAGGAAAATGCAGTTCCCCTATCTGCGATAATTCGTTTAGGGCAGCCCAATTCGGCTATGATGGAGTCAACTGCTTTAATGGTATCTCTAAATTTCGAAAATTCATCAATCATGACCAAAATTTGAGTAAAGCGATGGAACTTTACTATAGTGGACCTGCATGATCGATATGCCATACATCCAGTGGCTGTTTCGCTTTTTCGCCTAGTTGGTACAATCCTTTTCTCTGTCCAGTATGTGATTTGCCAATTGCCCATGCCCTACAATTTTGCACATATTGCTGGACAGAACGACTTATTCGTTGCCAATATAATGATTCTTTTAATTTAGCAAGAATTTTTCCTGCACCGATGTGAGTAGAGTCATCATGGTAAGCTTGTAGAATGCGCAGGTACATAACAACGTAAATTGTTTTTGCCATTTACTTTTCTATAAATTAAGCCATCTTTTTCCACGAACTAGTGTTTTTCTGAATCAGGAAGGTTTTTCTTTATTATGCTCAAACATAGTTCGTCATCGGCTTGGTAGTCTTTAAGTGGCCGCAGAGGCTCATTAAGTTTTTCTTTCCGACCTATTCTGGCGACAGCTACGACCATAGCTACGACAGGATTGGGGCTAAGATAAGACATATTGATACCCGGTCTGTATTCAATGTCAAAGTATAATAATTTTGAAGGCGAATCCACCAACGCGCAACTCTAGAGTTTAATTCTTTCTTAAGAGCCGTTGCTCTAACCGAATTGCAATCTGTAAAAACTGTAAATTTACGCCCATAAAGGTAGACATGAAAATATCTCACAGCTTCCACGATTGCTAGTGTCTCTAAATCGTAGGAGTGGTACTTAGATTCGCATTCGTTAGTTTTACGGCTAAAATAGGCTATTGGATGTTTAACTGAATTTTTTATTTGAAACAAAACGGCACCTAGCCCGATAGAGCTGGCATCTATTTGTAATTGAAATGGTAAATCAGGATCGTAAATACTCAATATGGGGTCGCTAACTAAGATATGAATTAAATTCTGTCTCAAAGTTCCTAATTCCGAGCACCAATTAAAAACTTAATTTTTCTTTAATAAATTAGTCATGGGAGCTACTTTTGTCGTATAATTTTAAATAAATCGGCGAAAATAGCCGGCTAAACCAAGAAACTGACATCCGCTGGTACCGGTGAATTAACTAAAGCTTTAATTTTACGTTGGCTAGGCCAAAGTTGCCCATTTTCAATAATAAAACCAAGATATTCTATTGATTGTTCAAAGAAATGACATTTTTTATAATTTAGTGTAAACCCGGCGGTTGCTTATGCGGCTAAAACAGTTTCTAATTTCGTAAAACCTTCTTCTATCGTCTAAATAAACAAGTACAGAATCATCATTTAAAGGTTTTAATGCCTTATGAATGCCGCGCTTGTAAATTGCTGTTGAATTTACTTAGCCAAAGGGCATGGCATGCGGTTAAATTCGTACTGACCATCAGGTGTAATAAACGCAGTAATGTACTTATGAGATTCCTCGATTTCAACTTGGTGAAAACCAGCTTTCATATCTAACGTCGAAAAATATTTGAAACCGCATAGACGATCAATTTGGTCTTGTATTTATTATTATTAAGTTCCCGATAGTCAACACATAATCTAAGGTCGCCATTACGTTTTGTTACTAATACGATCGGGCTAGCATAGGGCGAGCTACTTTCTCTGATAATACCTGTTTTAAGCAGATCTGAAATTTGCTATTTTACACGAACTCTTTCATTGGACGATAAATGGCGAGCACGATGATAAATAGGTTTTGTATTAGATAGTTGAATAGACATTTTAGTAGTAGTAACTGAAGGGGCAGTAATTTTTCTGTATTTATTTAAAATAGCAATTAAATAATTCTTTTGACGCTCGTCCGGTCCTGACCCGAAAACAGTATTAATTTCGTTTGATATATTAAAATTGTGAATACGTGGAAAATAATAATCTACAACATTATTTTTTTAACGACCTGTATATTAGCTTGACAAACTAGATCAAGTCCTATTAGGGCATCTAATTTACTTCCAATTACGTTATGGGGTACTACCAAAAATTGTATCTCTAAATTAATATGCTGTAGCATTACATAAACACGACAGGCGCCTAATACTTTAACATAATTAACTGGGCCTATACCCTGAATTGTTTTATCAACAGGGAGTACTGGAATTTTGAGTTTAGTTATTACATGTTGAGCAATTATGCACTTTATTTGCGCAGATTGCTCTCCCTGTACTACAGCTATAGATAGTCAACTTTCATCGCTCCTGCTTTGAGGCACAATTTTGACAGAATGCGCCTTAGTAAAGCAAGTTGCTTCAAGGTGTCCAGGCTTGTGGCAATAACTGCATTCAAGCTTAGTTTTCTTAGTGCCGTGCCTGAATTAAGTTTCTAGCATTTCTATTTTCAATCCCCGTTTCCACGCAACTTAACAAATATTCCCACGAAATACTTGCATAGTTTGCTGAAAAGCTTGCATATATGGTATAACTTCAGGCGAAGAGAACATTGTTGCGGTTCTACGCAACTAGCAACATGCTCTTGAGTTTCACTTCTCCCCTGCTCGTCGTCATTGCAACGAAAAATTAAACGATCAACAATAAAATGAAGAATCAAAAAAAAATAAATAAAAGCTCACAAATAATCTTAATCAGAACGACACACAAGCAACGACTTATTTAGCGAATCAACTTCTCAGGAATGAATAGCAATTTAAAAAAACTACCACAAATAATATGAGTTTGACTCTTGAAATCGAACATTTTCAAAAAAAATTGACAAATCGGCAGAATAAAAATATTAAATTAAATCAATTTATTAACTTACGACTATATAGCCGAATAAGTCACGTACTTACAAAATGCAGAGTAAGTAAAGCAAAAAATAAAAAATTTATTATTTTCTGAAACAATCGCATCATTCAATAGAACAATACTTCTAGCTCCTGCAATTTAATTTGATTTAATTTTAATTATATCAGCATACCGACCTCTAATCATCCTATTTGTAATAATCCAAATGGTAATAATTCAAAATTTAAGAATAACAAACACTAATAACAAAAAACAAACAAAAGCACAACACATTGCACTACAAAAAATATAGCGGCTTCTCAGTTCATCCCACTTCTGATGTAAAGATAACAGATATTATTACGTAAAAGAATTTTAATTAAGAACAATTTAAGGTTACATGTCCACCCTGTCACCGCACTGTACTCTAACTAACTGATATAAAGCAAAATCTAAACTAAACTTACAATATTTAGCACTTAAAAAATATTGAATATAAAATAATATACGTAGCAGCTGTGTTTACGCTGCTCTCCAATAATGTAAACAAGGCCCGCGTTCGCCGGTGTACGGTGTCCAAGTTCCAATTACTAACATATGTATCAATACATATCTCTAACTAACAAAATAATAATAAAGAAATTAAGTTACTCAGTTATAATAATTTTTTTGTCTCTTCTGTGAAAAATGAATTCTGGTTTAAATCCGGTTATTCTTCTGGGATCCTAATTATTTTTGAATGAAAAATCAACTGGTATTTTAAATCCAAATTTAAAAAATAAATTGGTTTGAATGGGTTTGGCGCTATGAATTACCAATTCATTCCAGGTGCATTTCTATTGGATTTAGCCAATAGAGACAAGCATAGGCATGGATTGGTATATTCCAATTTAAGCCGCTGACTTCATTGGAACTTACCAATAGGAATGCAACTGGAATGAATTGGTGATTCATAGCGCCAAAACACATTTCAAACCAATTCAAACCAATTTCTTATTTTTTATTGGATTCTATCGGTCATTTACAATAGGGTTATTCACTATTTTCAACTGGGGATCCGGACCGAAATGAAATAACGCTTCCGGTCCAAGATAAAATGAAAAATTTCGGTTCCGGTTAAGAAAGTGAAACATTTCATCGAAGTTTGTGTAGACTTGCATGAAGGCTTCCAGAGTAGCTAACTCCAACTGCGATTTTTCGAAAGTCCAGTAGTTATTGACGCACTGGTGCCTAGCAGACAAAATATAAACTCTCATAAAACTTTTTAATCATTTGTCTATTTGGAACACTTTGAACCATCGATCTTCAGTAGAATATTTAAATATTGGAAATAAGTTACACAATTTAAATGCGTAGTGAAGACATCCCGATAGTTTACACTGATCAAGTTTTAAAAGTGACTCTCACTTTAGGCTGCAAAAATAATTCATTTAATTGACACCACTGAGTCAGTGGCACTGACAGATTTTGTAAAAATAATAAATATACATTTTAAAAATAAAACTACCAAAATATTGTTTATCAAAAAACATTCGGTACCTACTTATTAAAAGATGATTTATTTTATTACCCTTTTGATATTCGTCGATACCCTACACCACCAAGTGGTAAAAGGGAATTGATTATATATATGTATATATTCGTCGATAGACCATATATATACCAAAGTGTGTCAAAAGGCCGCGGCCGCCTGGCACACTTAAAACAATCAATCCTTTGACGGCTAGCCGTTAAAGGATTGTGTTAGGATGGCGAAAAATAAACGTTTTATTTTTGGATAATATTTTCTTTGATTAGTTGATTATATTTGCATAGTGCGTGCATGAGGTAAGGTAATAAATAAGTTGAGAAAAAGTGCAATTGTGTACGAATATAAAAAAAATTTCAAGTGCCAGAAAATACCTTGGTGGATTTGCTAAACGTAATACGATAATATATAATATATATATATAATATATAATATAAGGTAAGATCAGTTCTAAACAAATTACGAAAAAAATCGTTTTAAAGGTCATCTTTATCAATCTTTATAATAATAACTATTAAAAGTTGTTTTTTGTTGGCTTTTTATTATTAAAAATTACATTTTTCTTTTAATAAAGAACTTTGATGGCCCCCTACATTTTTTAGCCCCAGACCCCCTTCTGGCTTAATCCGGCCCTGAATTCAGTGCACGCTTTCGACCTAAATAAACCGGGAAAAACGCTGTGGCTGCTAATCGCCGCAACACCTAAGATTATAAGATGACTTAACACAGATGAGTAGAGATTAAGTTGTGTAAAATTTCCGCTATCTTCTCGACAACTCCTTCCAGTAAGATGCTGCGATGGTTTCCTTGGAGGGTTTCAACGGCCACTTTTTGTTTGCACACCTGAAAAAATAAAGATAAGTAAAATTTTATGATAAAATTAGATAAATCAAATTAAGGTTTCAAGATAATGTGAAATTACGCTCGAGAGTCCATAATCTTCACCAAGTTGAACGTGGTTATCGCTGGCTTTTACAAGAGTCACTTGTCCATTAAAAGATGCGGTTGGTTTGTATTTTTCAGCGGCAACGAGTTTTAAATAAAAGCTGGAAGCGGCAGCAGAAAGTTGGTCAGCTGGAAATGGTGTAGCGCCATCAAGAATTTGCGTGGTCATTTCTAATCTTTCATCCAAAGTCTTGAGGGCCATCAGATCAGATATAGTCTTAAAATAAAAATAATAAATTTAGTATAGTTTTTTAATTTTAAATCGGTTTTTCTACCTTTTGTTGATTTATATCTTTGAATTGAAGGATGAATTTCACCAAAGCTACGCTTTGGTAAACTTCATCGACTTTAGCGACTGTGTTCCTTTGTATATTTTGTCTGGCGTTTTGGATTATCTTATTTATTAGAGTTGAAGCGTATATTGTGGAACCGTCAATAAGCAAAAGTTTTACTTTTTCTTGGTTGGCTTCCAAGAAGACACCCATTTCAAAGGCGACACATGCACCAAATGAGTAACCAATTAGGTAGTATGGGCCTTTAGGTTGAACGGTTTTGATGTGTTTGGTGTAGAATTGAGCCAATTCGGCAATGGTTTTGAGTGGTGCATTACTTGTACATTGAATACCGTAGACTGGGGCATCGATGTTCTTAGCCAAAGTTGTTAAAGCGCTTACATTTCCTTCTATTGGATGCAAAATGAAAACTGGAGTTTTCTCGGCATCGGTGATCTTGCTTTTCATTGGTACTATAATTTTGCTTGGCATAATTTCGACGGACTTGTCGTATTGTACTTGGCCTGCTCCAAAATTGGGTTTATTTAAGCGACCGAAAGTGAGAGCTCTGATTTCTCGAGCATTCAATACCAAATCATAGTTACGCTCTAAAGTTTGTTTGATTTCCGAAAGCATAAGAGAGTCCATACCCAAATCGGCCAAACTGGCATTAGCGGATACATTTGGTATATCCTTAAGACCCAAGATATTGGCAACGACATCAGTAAGGCTGACTTGTTTGACGTAACCTCCGGTCTTGCATTTCTCAGCAAGAACCATACTCGAAACTACAGCGTGGGGTTGTTGCAGGAGCACATCGATGGTGTTCAAGCAAGATGACATTCTTTGTGGTAACGTTCCTGCGACTTCAGTGTTGTTTCCTCCCATAGTTTCCAAAATAAGACCCACATCACCAATAGCACCCCATTGGATGGCCATACCAGGCAATCCTGCGTCTTGTCGAGCTTCAACTATTCTTTCCATGGCGGAGTTGGCCAAACCATAGTTAGCTTGACCGGCGTTACCACGACCACAAGAAACCGAAGAAAAGTTGACGAAGTAGTCCAAATATGGAGCCATGGCTCTGGAAGCAGCGTCCAATTGTTTGCTGCCATCAACCTTGGGTTTGCATACGGTCTTGAAGTCAGCTTCGCTTTGGTTTTCCATCATAGCGTCACGAAGTACGACAGCAAGATTAAAGATACCGCCAATTTGACCAAGTTTGTTTGCTTCTTCCATCAATCTCTTTGCTCCTTTGTCGGTGGTGGAGTCAGCGGTGGATACTAGCACATTGATTCCATTTTCGCGCCATCTTCTGATGCAAAGGGATTGGTATCCTGTTTTGATGCCGCTTCTCGAGGTAAGAACAATTTTGGTGGCGCCTCTAAGGACCAACCAGTTGGCCAATTCCAAACCGAAACCACCAAGACCCCCTACAAGAATGTAGCTCTTTTCTGGGTTCATGTATGTGCGTGGAATAGCCGGTACGGTCTTTATCTTAGGAACCATGGCTTGATAGCTTTCTTCATCTCTGATTTTCAAGAGGACCTTACCAATGTGCTTGCCAGAAGCCATAAAACGGAAAGCTTGTTCAACTTGGTTTTTGCTGTAGACGGTCTTAGGCAAAGGACGTACGGCTCCGCTAGCAAAACCTTCAGTAACCAATTTTATTACTTCCATCTTTTCGGGGGTGTCACTGTAAAAAAGGGCATCAAGAAGAATACCGTGGAAAGAAGTGTTCTTCAAAAATACGCCCATTTCCAAGGGGGAGTTCTGAGACAAGTCAACTTTACCAATTTCTAAGAAACGACCTCCAATGGCCAAACACCGTACGGAAGCTTGCAGTTGATGGGCGGCCAAAGAGTTCAATACTAAATCAACACCACGGCCGTTAGTTTGGGAAAGGATGAGTTGTTCGAAACTGGTGTCACGGGAATTGCCAATGTTGTTGTCGGTAAGTTGTGGGAAAGTTTTCTTAAGAAAATCTCTCTTGGCTTGGCTACTACAGGTGGTGAATACTTTGCAACCCATGTTAAAGGCTATATTAATGGAAGCTTGACCTACACCCCCAGTACCGGCGTGAATCAATACAGTTTCGCCAGGCTTCATTCTACCTCTGACGATCAAAGCGTAGTAACTGGTTGCGTATACTACGGGGATGGTAGCGGCTTCTTCCAAGCTCCATTTTTCTGGTACTTCCCACAAAAACCCCGAATCAGCCAAGACGGTGGTGGCCAAACTTCTGGTTTCGACAATACCCATTACTCTCCTACCATTGGTGTCACGACCAGAGAATTCCAAACCTAGGACACAATCTTGTCCAGCAAGATCTCCAGGTAAGGCATCTGGTGGCAGTTTTCCGGTGGCCAACATTATATCACGGAAGTTAAGGGAAGCATAGTGTACTTGACAAAGTTCATTATATTTGGCACCTCTGAAAAATTGAAGAATAAAATTAATAAAATCTTTTATTTTTAAGTTTAAATTTAAACTAACCTGAAGTATCTTAAAGGTGTTTCAATCCATTTAAGACTGGCTAAGTCACCACGAGTAAGGGTGTTAATGTAGGCATGTTCGACTTGTAGGATTTCTTTGTCAGTAGCATTGTCCAAAATAGTGTGGCGGTAGGAACCCCATACGTTATTTTTAAGAACATTTTGTATCAAATCTTTTTCAAGAACATCGGCGTAAGCTTTAAGTGAGAATTTTGGTGCGTCGCTGTCTTGTATGAAGAAGGATCTCAAGTTTTTGCCACCAGGTTCTTTTATTAAGCAGTTGACCATACCGACAAGACCGGTAAGTTTTTCGTCTTGTACGTATATAATTATCTTGGTTTCGTAGGTTCCGCATTGTTTAAGGGCAGCCTTCAAAGGTTCGACCCAGGAGAAGTTGTTTTCAGTTATTTGAATGACGATAGCATCGGATTGTACTTCAATAGGCTTACGCAAAAGAATGTAAGTTTTGGTGGCAGTTACTTGTTTGCTAATGACTACCAAAGCGTAAGCTGCAACGAATTTTTCATCAACGACGCCTTCAGTTTCTTCCAAAAGGATAAAACCTCCGGCAGTAAGAGATTTGACAGCGTTAGTAATAACGTTTTCTTTCTTGTATGTTAAAGCGCCGGACAAGATAACCAAGTGGCAGTTTTTCTCAACAGGGTTTTTGGTTACATCATGTACTACGTTCTTGACTCTCATAGATTCCAAGATGGTCATATCAACAGGGGCTGAACTTACAACAATTGCTTCTACAGAGAAGAGCATAGGTTCTTTTTCCAAAATATTAGTGACCATTGGAGCTAAAGCAGCCTTAACAGGTTTGTCGGTGATGAATTCGGCAACTTTAAGTTTAAAAGCACCAGAGCTGTTTTCCAAAACGATTTGCAAGAGTACGGTCAAAATATTCACGTTGGCTTTACCGGAATCATCCATAACGGCTTGGTTGAAAGGCGTGAATTTGTAAGTTTCCAATTTTGGTGCATTTTGATTTTGGTGTCTGCGAGGTGCCAAACTGGCTTTCAAGCCTCTAAGTTCAATGCCACCAGATTTGATTACTCCAATGTCAGGGTACATGTAAACTGGAGTTCCTTCAGCAGATTCTTGCATGTATTTAAGATGTTCCTTGGGGTTAATAAAAGACCTTTGGAGTCTAGTTGGGAGGTAAAGATCACGGGAGTTTTGTTCCAAGATGGAGAATTGGAGCATGGTATCGATGTAACTAACCCAGTTCTTTTCCCATTTTAGTTTACCAGCCAAACCTCTGTTATCGGATTCGGTTATACCTTTAAAGATGCCTTCGTAATCGTAACCACGGAGACGCAATTCCTTGTAGATGTCAGCTTTGTCTAAAGCCAACACATCCTTCTCAGTTGGTACAGTTGGTTTAGGCATGTTAAGGACTTCTTTGGTTACATCTTCTGGGGCAGATATTTTACCAGAAACAGTCACTAAACCACCTTCGCAAAGTTCGAATTCTCCGGTGCCTTCAAAAATGTTGATAAGAAATTTAACCGAACCTTTTTTTGACAAAATGGTTGCACGGTGGAATTGCACATTTTCAAGAATTACCGGCAATTGTTCAAAGTCTTCGTTGCGCAATTTGGCAAACGTTTTCCACACCAAAACCTAAAAATATTAATAATTAAATTACAATATTTAAAAAGTATGCTTACCCAGCACAAACAGTTTGTTTTAAGCATGATTTACAAGAGGCATGATTTCATATCCACGCGTCCTTTATTATAATAGCCTACCTCATTGCAGCCCTTCAACCCAAAAGTTCCCCCATTAAATTTTTTTCCAAATTTATATTCCTTTATCAGAATGAAGTTATTTGAGCAAAAATGAAAATCTATGGAAAGAAAAAAAAACTCAATTTTGCTCAAGTTTTTGTAGGTTAATTTTTTTAACTACGTCCAAAACCATCCCACGACAAAAGTGTTTGGCTAAAAATCTTTGTCCGCTTATCGTAAACAATATTTATTGAACTATACTGCAAAAACATGTATTTTTAATTTTATAATCTGGAAAAACAGCGAAAATCCATTTTTATTGTTTGCTTTTACGATGAAACTAAGGTGATTTTTATCCTAAAGGCAAAGTTTATAATATTAGTTTTTAAATCAATTTTTTTATCTATTGCTTATCAGAAGATATGGCCATCAGAACTTCAAAAAATGATATTTACGCTATAACTTTGTAAGCATGGAAAAATCGCAATTATCAAGGAATATATTTTTGAAGAAGACTTAATTTTAAACGAATAAGTGCAATTTTTTATAAAACTTGTTTTAACGAACCTGGTGTAAGGAAAAATCTTTACAATATAGAATTAAAAGTTTATGTAAATAGATTATAATTTATATATACCTTAAATGACCTTATAGGTGCGCAACCATAAAGGCGTCTTGTGGCATTGCCATTATACAATGGTGACAATTATTTTTTATGTTTATGATATATCACTGTGGCATGATTTGGTTTGCTTGGAACTTACCAAATATCCAGTAGCAGGGAAAAGAACACGTCCGTCAATATTGTGTCCAGAAAGATATTGATCAGCTTCCTTGCTCAAATCGATGTCAACAACAAATTCACCATATTTAATACCCGTGCCAGAGAAATTTGCAACAGACCATTTGGTGGAGTGATCCCATTTGATTATAGAAGCCAGCATAGGAGTGCCTTTTCCAACTGGGAAATTAACAGGGTTATACATGTAACCCAATTTTGGTTGTCCACCGGCATTATAGAATCTATAAAGCAATATTACTTAGTAATATCCTTATGTAAAAACATGGTTATAACTTACTTTCCAAGGGCTGAAAGAAAAAAATGTACATTGTCCTCATGTCCTCTTTTAATCAAACTAATGTTGGTGGCTCTTGGTCCTAAAGCCCCCTTTAGGATAGCTTGCAAAATACCTGTTGGGGCAATTTCAATAGCAATAGCATTTTCTGGTACATGTTGAAGGGCTTCGTAAAACAACACGGGTGACAACAAGTTGTTTACGTGGTAAGCGGCAGAGCTTTGTTGAGCCAATGGAGTGCCCCATGCAGATTCTGGAATTGACGAGGATATCCACCTAAAAGTACGTGGTTTTGGGTTTGGAATGATTTCATCTAAAGCTTTTCTAAGTTTGGTACCAGCTTCTGCAATGTATTTGGAGTGAAAAGCGATACCACAGGTCCTGACCACCTTGGCAAAGATGTTTTCGATTGTAAGTTCGGCTACGAATTTTTCAATAGCAGCAGCAGGTCCAGATATGGTGACGCTGTCTTTGCTATTGTGACAAGCAGGAACAATTTCTGGTGGGCACCTCTTTTTGGATTCTTCCCATGATAGACCAACGGTAGCCATAGCGCCTGGAGCAAGTTTGCTCTCCAAGATGACGCGACTATTAAAGTAAGCGGTTAAAACGGCTTGTTCTCTGGTCAAAGTGCCATCCGCATAGGCACAACCGACTTCTCCTATGGAGTGGCCTACAATACCACCGGGGTCAACTCCAAGGGCTCTTAATACGTCAGTGAGGGCCACTTGAATTGCGGTGATTGAGATGAAGGAGCTTAATACATTGTCGAAGGTAGCTTCGTTTTCGTTCATGATAATGTCTTCCAGGTTGACTCCGTGAGGTTTAAGAGCGGCAGCGCTTTTTTTAATGGATTCTCTAAATGTTTCGACTTTCATTAAGGCTTTAGCCATACCAGGCCATTGAGAGCCCATTCCAGAAAAAATGTACCATACTGCTCTTTTAGGGGCAGTTTCGACAACTTCTCTGGTTGGCTGTTCGTTTAAGATGATGTAACCACGGTATATGTGACCGTTAATATTTTTGCTGTGAATTGCATCGATCAAAGCTAATAGTTCTTCGTCGTTTTTGTTTTCTTCGACTTTAGTTAAAAAGTTGTCGACGGCTTCTTGGGTACGGCCAGAAACGCTTACAACTCTTGGTAATATAGATGGAATCCCGGTTGTTTTTGGTTTAGGGTTGGATTTCAAGATTATGTGAGCTTTGGCTCCACCAAAACCGAAATTGTTAACTCCAACGATTCCTCCCTTCCATTCTTTGTTTTGGGAGACAACTTTTAATCTTCCGTCGTTTAATGCTGGAATGTCTTTGTTGGGAGACTTAAAATGAAGATTTCCGGGAATTTGGCCAGATTCCATAGCGATAACAATTTTAGCTAAAGAGCAGAGACCGGAAGCGGGTTCGGAGTGACCCATGTTACTTTTGACGGAACCAATTAGAAGTGGTTCTTTGCGATTATTACAGAAAAAATCGGCAATGGAGTTGACTTCTTCTGAATCTCCCACTTTAGTACCGGTTCCGTGAGCTTCGACGTAGCAAACGTCATGTGGGTTTACTCCGCTTTCGGCATAAACTTCCCTGTATAGTTTGTTGTGCATACCTCCATCTGGGAAGGTGATACCTTGTTCTTTATAACCATCAGTATTGACCTTGGCACCCAACACAGTGGCGTACACACGTCTGGCGGAGGAAGTTTTTTGTAGGTAGACTACTACAGCGGCTTCAGATCTTACGTAACCGTTTGCGGAGGCATCAAATGCTTTGCACATGCCTTGGGCACTTAACATACTTAAACGGTGGAATTGAAGGGAAGAGGTGGGTTTTAAAAGAAGATTTACACCTCCAACAATAGCAGAATCACATTGTCCGGTTTTGATGGCATTTACAGCTTGTTGGAAAGCTAAAAGACTGCTGGAGCAGCCCGAACTAATGGCATAACTTGGACCATTGAAATCGAAAGTGTAAGAGATTCTGTTAGCGAACATGGCACGACAACAACCGGTAAGACTGTAGCCGTTGATTTGTTCTGGGTCTTGCGTCCAAAATTCGGAAGATTCAGAATCGGAAACTCCAATAAACACTCCGGTCTTGGATCCTCTTACTTCATTTGGGTTGATACCAGCATCAATTATAGCTTCGTGTGTCAATTCCAAAAGCATTCTTAATTGGGGGTCCATAACATGAGCCTGTTTTGCGTGAACGCCGAAGAAGGCTGCGTCGAAGTGGGCGATATCCTTGATTTTGCCGGTACGGGCTGGCAAACCATAGAGGCCGGATTGCCACCTCCTTTCATCGTCGGTGACCAGATCCACTCCATCGAATAGTTGTTGCTTGAATTCTTCGATGGTTTGACTCTCAGGCAAACGACCTGAAATACCGGTGATGACCACATGTTCGGAGCATTGGTTTGCTTGAGCCTTTTGAGTATCTGCCACACGCGCGTGCATTTTTATTGTTTTTTTTTTAAATTAGCTGTAACATTAAAACAATGTAAGATTAAAATAACCATTTAGTATAACACCGAAATGTAAGATATAATTGATTTAATAAAAAAATCATTATTCATTGACTCTTTAAATCATGAATAAATAAGTTAAAACCATTTATGTATAAATTTTAAACCGGATAACAAAATATATCTTTATAGTTAGGTAAAAATTATGTAGATAAAAGCGTAGCCGACCGACAGAACGGCTACGAGTAAAGGTCTTTGTAAATTTGTCAGTTAATAACGCGTATTTATATTTATAAAACGCGTTGATTACTGACAAATTTAATTTTTATTGATAAATCTGGTAATGGTAAACATAATATTTTAATATTAAGTTTTCAAACGTTGATGACGTAAGCGCAACTTTGATGGATTTCTACTTAACTTAATTTTACTTAAAAAAGGACAACTTTAGTGATATGTTAAACAAATATTATAAATATTCCCCAAACAAGTTGTCTGAGTTTAATAAAGCTAGAATAATTGCTTTGTTGCAAGAAGGGCTATCTTGACACCAAATAGCCAATATAATAAATATTGTTAGAAGCACAGTTAGCAGGACAATAAGACGGTATGAAGAAACTGGTGAAGTGCCAAATCCTACTTGGCAAATAGACCTAGAAATGGTAGACCCCGTGTTACTACGATACGTGAAGATTGATATATTGCTCAGTCAGCCCGTAAAAATCTGCCAGTCACCGTACCGTGTACTAAAACATCAGTTTCAGAGAACGTATAATAGGGTGATTTCGATTGCTACAATTCGTAGAAGGATATTAGCTTCAGGATTGCGGTTCAGAAGGCCTTTACAAGTTTGCTAACTCGTCACCGAGCCGCTCGTTTGCAGTGGGCGAGAATTCATCAAAACTGGCCTTTAGCAGAATGGAGAAACGTGCTTTTTACAGATGAATCAAGGTTTGGGTTAGTGAGTGATGATTACCGAGTAAGAGTTTGGAGGGACGCCTAAATAAACTGAAAACAGCCATTTGAGTTGCTCCTTATTACGGTGGTAAGAAAATGTTTTTGGGAGGTATCATGTTCAACAGAAGAACTCCACTTATTTATTTAACTGGGATAATGACAGGCGCATACTACCTGCAAAACGTCATAAATCCTATAGGATATATATATATATATATATAATTACACCCCTACGTAACGAATTAGGGGACCAGTTTATCTTTATGCACGACAATGCCAGGCCACATCGCACCAGAGGTGTTTAAGAAGTCTTGGAATACCAAAACCTAGTGATACTAGAATGAAATGGCCGGCGATGTCGCCTGACATGAATCCTATAGAACATGTATGGGATTACGTATCCAGGGCCATTTTAACAGGAATAATCCGCCAAAAAATGCTCAGAAGGAATGGGAGAATATTCCGCAAGAAATAATTAATAGTTTAATTATTGGAATGACAAGAAGCCTTGATGCATTATTGAGAAGCATGCATGGATTCGATCTTACTTAAATATTTGAATTCTAATTAATAAAATAATGCCTCACCAGTTTTCAGATAAATAACTTTAAAAATAAAGCTCCCACACAAAAAAATCTCTCCTGTAAAATTTAGGTTTTGTCGCTTACGATGTTTTGTCAAATAACCATCGAATAGAGAAACCACCAGAGAGCTAAGTGCCTTGTTATAAGTAATCCACTAAACTACCAATTCCCGCTTTCCAGATGGCGTAGCTGTAGCTTTTGCGCGCCAAATTTAAATCCTGTTTAATGGCGGGAATTTTAAATGTATTGAAGGATTTAATTAATAAAATTGATATTTTCGTCAAAATTACAGAAAATTAAGTTTTTACAAGTGTTAAAAGTAAAGTTAAGTTTACTTTTACATTATAAAAACATAATTTACCATATTTTGAACCATTTAAGTATGATAGGAGATTTTAAATGAAAAAAAATAAGTTTTTCGTTTAAAAATATTATTAAATAAAATATCCTTAAAATATTCAGTAAATACAATAAAAAAATACCAAAATAAATCCATGTACACTTGAGTGGATAATAATAATATCTTTATTTAACCACATTACATAAGAAACATTTATGGCAAATCAAGGTACAAAAGTTATACAAATACAATATAAAAAATACAATAATACAACAGAATATAATATTTACATAATGTTAAAATTAAGATCTGGAGTCTCCACTACTCTTTATTGAGTAGAAAGTCCTGTTTATTAAATACATGTTTATCTGGTTCCTAAAACGTTTAAAAATATTATTAAATAAAATATCCTTAAAATATTCAGTAAATACAATAAAAAAATACCAAAATAAATCCATGTACACTTGAGTGGATAATAATAATATCTTTATTTAACCACATTACATAAGAAACATTTATGGCAAATCAAGGTACAAAAGTTATACAAATACAATATAAAAAATACAATATTACAACAGAATATAATATTTACATAATGTTAAATCTGGAGTCTCCACTACTCTTTATTGAGTAGAAAGTCCTGTTTATTAAATACATGTTTATCTGGTTCCTAAAACTTTTTATTTTTTTTATTGATAGTGGTAGCTTATTATACAGGTTAATATCCAAACCATTTAATTTGCGTTTCTCGAGTCGTAGAAAGGGGCCTGATTAGGTTTGCACTTCTGGTATTGTGATAATGGATATTAGATTGGGTTAAAAATTTATGTCTTTTTGTGTGGGTCTCAACCAAACTATGGTAAATATAAAGAGAAGGTAGAGTCATAATATGGAGCTCCTAGCAAAAATATTAATCTTCAAGGTGAAAAAAAAAATGTGAAGGAAAAAAATTGACTCGCAATTTTCTAAATTATCTCTAAAACCACAATATTTAAGAGATAATTAAATATAATATAATTTATTTATACATGTTTAATTGAAAACAAGGACATCTAAAATTATGCGCAATTTTCTCAAAAATTATTTAATAATCAAATTATAAGAACTTACCTGTTAAGATTTTTTGGAAAACAAAACAAGGCTTCGTTTTCGGATGGACCACAAATAAAGTAAAGCTTCATTTTAAAGTTTTTTAAGAGTTTAAACAATTAATACTATAAATATCAACAACCAACGCACAGAAAAACATAAAAACGCACTTTTTAAACATATCTGACATCTAGAAATTTTAAGTCGAAACTGTCATACACCTACCAACGCACAGAAAAACATAAAAACGCAAGTCGAAACTATTTTACAAATTAGACGGAAACTGTAATTATTCTACAATGGCGACATCTGTAAAACGGGAACAATTAGCCGGACTAAATTTTATATCGAGCTGGCATTCTGGTGGTTTTTCTATGACATAGCTCTTCTTCCAAAATGTTCAATTTAATTTCGTGAAAAATCTATAATAAATTTTGACGTTTCACTTTGTTTGACACTTATTGACAAGTAACTAACTAAATTTGATTTTGTCTAAAATCAACATACATTTTAAATGCAAATGCGTGCGGAAAAGTACAACTTTGAGAACGCAAATGGGTGCGAATAAAGCTTAATTTTCATGTATCCGTTTGTCCGTCATCCGTATGTCAGTTTTTCAATAAAATCGTCCGATAAGAAATGTTCTAATTTTCATGCATACGTTTTTTAATGACGTTTAACGGATTGATTTTGCGACAAATAGAAATTAAGTGTCAGTATATTCACTTACTAAATTTACCTAATGCTTAATTGTCATAGTTACAATTATGTCAACAATTATAACTTTAACAGTTGGTGTCTAATAAATTTAAAGGTAGGTAAATATACCTTATAAAAAGAATATACTAGCCCTAATATACATTAAAATGTATACATTTTTGTATACATTTATATATAGTTTTAAAAAAGCAGGTCCTTTTAGTTCTAGTTTTAATTTTTTTGTTTGTCCTTTCTTTTTTTCCGTTATTCTTATTAAATAAAAACTTAACAGTAAAACATTATTCACATAACGAACGTAATATTTTCGTTTTACAATCTTATTGAAAAAATATAAAAATATTTGAAAATAAATTATCTTAAAATAACGTTAGGCGTCAAAAACAGATGTGTAGTGACGGATGAGTTAATAGTTATTTACGATATAAGTGGGATAAGAGCTTTATTAACGTACGCATGCGAAATTTGCCCAACGAGTGCGTAGCACGAGTTGGGCAATCGCAAAAGTACGTTAATAAAGCGTTATCACACGTATATTGTACAAATTTTTATCTACGCCTCTATTTGGAAAAATAAACGGTAATTATTTTTGTCTAAGACTTAATTTAGGGTTATTTTGACATTTTGACTTTTTTATTTGATTGGTTAAAAGCAGAGAAAAATGCGTGCGTTAATGAACTTCTTATATCACTCAAAATGAGTGGGATAAGAAGTTCTTACCTCACTGGCGTAGATAAAATTATTTAACCTTTCAGACGTACGAAGTTGAAACTTGACGGAGCGATAAAATATCATAATTTTCGAATTATAATTGGACCAATAAGAGCGCTCCCGGATGAACGGACTGACGGACAAACGGATACATGAAAATTAAGCTTAAGTGTAACTTTGCGAAAAACTTAGTTCCGATTCAAAATAATTAAAATATTCCGATATATTATACACTCACTTTTAAAAGTCTTGCACCCCCCAATTATTAGGATTATGTTAAATTGTTTTAAAGTTTTAAAAGCCAACTGGTAAATTTTAATGAAAAGCTTACAAGAAAGTGACATGCATAAATTTTATTTAAGGCAATTATCATTAAAAAAACAAATCAAAATTGGGAAACAAAAAATTAAAAAAATAAACTTTAGAGAAAAACTAAAAATTAATATTCGGTATTTGAGCCTCTGCAGAAAACAATTTATTTTTTATAAAGCAGTTTTATTTATATTTATTAAATACTTTATTGCATATAGGGTTAATAAACATCCCATTTAAATGTAATAAAGCGTTTGTTTTTGTATGTTTCTTAATAAATAATATATTTATTTTTTACTACTATCTTAAAATATTAATAATTAAAATACATTTATTAAAAGTAAAAAAATTATTTATTTAAAACAAATTTATACCATATTGCATAAAAATTAAACCTTCGTTAATAATAAACAAATTTAAAGCAATAAAAATTGAATATTTATTTATTGTAACAGTTTGTTTTTTACACAAAACAATGAATTTGTTAATACATAACCAATTATAAATAATAAAAAATGTTTCAATATTTATACTATATAGTTGTTCTTC